CGGGCCGGGCCAGCGCCGCCGGGGGGAGCGGGCTGTAAATTAATCTGTCCGTTCTCCTCCGTTCCTCTTCCGGGTCCAAATCCAGACGGGATTATGGGAATACGAAGAGAAGCAGGAGTGCTGTTTGCAGTCTGCGGGATGATTGACTCGTGGCCTCGCCACAACCCAGGACAGTAATTACTGGAAACTTTCAAAAGTCCATTAACAGTGTTCCACTCGGGCTGCGATTCGGGAAAGTAACATCCCGAGGCTGTCGGAGGATAACTCTCTTGTCGCCCTCCTTGGTTAGGCAACAAAGGTCCTAGTATAGACAGTGTCTCTGGAAAACTCTAGGGAAGTTTCATCATCCTAACAAGAATTCCCGAGATTGCAGGCCAGGCCCAGGTGTGGGGAGCAGGAGGTGATGGAACACCACACAAGGATCTTTTGCAAAAGGTGATTAATCTTTCAGCACTGTAGTCACTGCAGCACCTCTCTGCCTTTGAGAAACCTTCATCTGATACAATAATGTCTAAAAAGTCAGACTTGTAGACTGAACAATATGAAATGTAGTAATTTCTGGTGTTATTTGGTCTATACCATAGCCCCATACTAGCCACTGTGAAGAAAATTAACGCTGCTCCAGCCCAAACCAGCACAACCACCAAACTGCTGTATTTAGCAGTCTCAAGGGTGCAGAAATCAAACATTACAGACTGTGTATGGCACTAGTTTCTAAGGGTTGACCTAAATTGCCAATGAACATTACGCATATGGTCAATTCTGACAACTCTCAAGTTAAAATGCTTGTAACAAGATCTCAACAGAAGTTTATATACTGAACTACCACTGAGGCAGTCTGGCTTTCAACATAGAACACTACAAGGAACTGAAGAGTTTCAGAATCTGTTTCCAGTAAAGCTCTTGTCTAACTACAACTTGGCACGAGTTACTGTGCTGGTTTGAAAGCAAACCGGCGAGAGACTCTGAGTCAGAAGTACAATTTAATATGAAACACAAACAAAACAACAACAAATACAACAGTACAAAAAAAAACCAAAAAGAAAGAAACCACTGACAGAGTCAGCAAGTAACCTAACACCTTGTCAGTCAGGACGTTGATAGTATTGCGATTAAATGGTGGCTGCAGTCCTCCTGGAGTGATGGGTCTGTCAGAGCAGTGGTCCTGCAGATCCGGTCCTCTCCCAAAGGCTCAGCAGCAGCCCCTTGTCCTCTGGGAATCCAGCAGGTAAAAAGGGCTCCTGTGCTGGTTCAAACCCCAGCTTATATCCCTGTGGGAATACTTGGCTCACCCCCCACCCCCCGCCCCGGGGTGAGGCATCTCAGAATGGGACATGCCTGAGTCCAGACAGCCCATTAATGAGACAGCCCCCTAGGAAGCCATCAGGCACCAGGCTTGAAGCATTGCAAACTTTTATGTTTCTAGTATTGTCTCTGCAAGGCATCTGAAAATCGTCTAAACCCTTGCAGTGATTGCTACAATTCCCCAAACTTACATAGCAGCATCTTAAGACCACTTTCTTAGAGCTCGGTTTGAATACCAGTAACACATCACGTAGGTTACGGATTCATCAATCCCTAATTTTTATGTAACTCCAAGTGACTTACTGATGTATCATACAAATTACTTACCCCCAGCAGTTAACTCAGACCCATTTGTGGGTCAGCTTTCCACACCAACCTCTCCAGGTCATTTGGACAATTCCTGTCCCAATTGCAGCAAATCTCCAATGCCTTTGTGTCTAGCAGTATGCATCCTCCAGATTTGGGAGGGTTTTTGCCCAAAAAGCAATGACCCATACAATAAGCAGCATTTCCTACAGGCCTATCAGTGCCACAGTGGTGAGAAATGAAAAATCTGAAAATCCCTCCTCAACTAATATCTCCATAACAGCACATAGCCACTATTACAGTTACTTGCTTTAAGACAAAATTCTGACTCTCCATGCTAGGGCACAATGAGAATCAGTGACACACAGGGCAAGTTCCTAGTGTCAGTATTCCATTTCTCTGGCATGGGAGCTCTTTTCAGTGATACATACAAGCCTATTTTGTGTGCAGTGCAGAGATAACTGTCCTTTTTAAGACAGAGGTTCTAGCAAATGAAAAGTTAATTAAAGGATTGTTTTAAATGAATCACTTCAGAAACTCTGTGTATAAGGGTATATATATTTTCAGGAATACTGCATTTTACTGAAGTCAAGTATGTAAAAAAAGGTCAAAGATTTTCTGGGTAAGACCATTTATTTTAACAAACAGATGAGTCTTTACGATGAACTGGAGGCTGCAACAGCTGCTCTCTTGGGCTTCGGTGTGGTTCCCTCACGGAATCCATTCCTGCAAAGAGACATATGGTTACCACTTTTTCAAAGGATGATTCCTGCTCCAGATTATTTTCTGACAGTGATGTTTTAGATCAAGCATTTTTTCAGATGATCTCAGTAATGCACTGAAATCACTACAGAGTTCACACAGTCATTTTAAAAAAGAAACATCTTATTAACAATTGTCTTGAATAAGCAGTATGGTTTTCATTCTCTTCTCCTGAAATAAATTTGACTTCTTGAAACAGGCAGATTTCATTAATGAGCACTGCAAGACTGTAACAGAAACAGCACACCTTACTTTATGTTCCTACTAAGCAATCCAGCCCAAGACGTCATGTTTGTGAAGCCCCAGCCCGTTTCTTACAGAAATGCCTCCAACCAGAGACTCAGATAGCATTGACAGAAGAGTCAGCCCCAACCTTGCTTTTGGATATGACATTTCTACCTCAGCAACACCCAGTGGAAACCAAACTACAGCTGCACCCTGGAAGGTATTTTACAGCTGCTGGGAAAGAATGTGCTAACTAAAGCAAATCAATGGATCCCTCAACAACACCCAGGACTAAGACTTAACCTCCTTTCTTTTAAAACCTCCTTTCTTTTGCTATTAAATCCAATCTACGTTTTTATGACAACACTCCTGAACTACCTGGTATTTTTTCATCCAGCTTTCCTGTGTATTAGACCAGACACATGGAGGTCACACAAAATTCTTATTGAGTGTGAACCACACCCACACCGTTACCTCCTAAGTATCACTCAAAGCTTTGTAACAAAATTTAGAAACTTGTAAGTCACCATCTGATGTTACACCTACTTAAAGCTAACTGAACTTCACATAAAAGAGACTAGGGAAGTTATTCCCATGGTGAACTTCTCTTGTGGGTAAATGAGGACTGGAACGCATTTTGAGACTTTGTCTCTACACGGCAGTGTAACCATCAATTTAATTGAATTACAGAGGCAACACTAGGCAGAGCATGTATTCTCAGATGTGGGCATTTTATTACAATAACCTCTGTATTCTGTACCATCTACACTCAATAGAAACATAATGTTTTGGACACTCTATGTCTTACCAGTGAGCTGAAGTTTTTTATCCCCAAAGGAATATGCAGACAACTATATAAAGCACCATTTATTTCATGATATATTTAGGAAGCTCATACTGCATTAAGTGGTACTAAAAAGCCTAAAATGTAAGCTTTGAATGATGAATTTTATAATTGAGTGAGTCTGTGGAGGATTTCACACCACACTAGTCTGTGATGTTATACCTGAATCGACGGTAGACCTTCTTCAGGTGCCTCATGCGACCAGTACCAGTGGTGTTGCGTCTTTTAGCCTTAGCACTCCAGTTATCTGAAACACATATGTAAGTTACTGTTAGTCATCCGCACCAAATAATTAAGTTGCACATTACATTTGTGTGGCACAATTATTCAAGCTGATAGAAGAAAAAAAGATTATTTCTAAGTCAGTGTCTATGCAATAATACTGCATATTACCTGAATTACAGTTATACCATTAACTTGAGCTCCGAACACTTCAAAATCACAGAGTATTCCTACTCGGCTGGGAAAAAGAGATTACTGAAGAAGAATAAGGAGCAGAGAAGCCACTTAAAGGTTTGCTACTTACACTTTCTCTTACGCTTAGCAGGGTAACCACATTTCCCACAGGTCGATTTTTGCAGATGGTATGCCTTGGACCCACATCGACGACACAAGGTGTGTGTCTTATTTCGTCGCTTACCAAACGACGATGTTCCCTTTGTCTGAAAAATATTTCACGACACAGCGCGCTGAAAACGTCACCAGAGCTTCCCAGTCGCCAAACTAAAAGCACAAGCGCCAAGAAACAAGCGCTTGTGTGCTCCCATGCAAAACACATCGGAGACACACTGAACTCCGAACCACACCTCAGCCTGTCTACAGGTAGTCTCCGTGTTCAGGAATCATGTCCTCGCGCCTCTCGCAGTCCTTACGCGTCCCTGCGGCACAGCGGAGCCAGCGCGCGGTTCCGCGGTTCCCCCCGGCTGCCTCTGCGCCCACCACCAAGCAGCAGCGCGCTGCTCCCTCCTGACGGAAGGCTACTCCCTTCGCACCCATCGCACGAGCCCCAGGCGGCCG